GAAGGAAGGAAGGAAGGAAGGAAGGAAGGAAGGAAGGAAGGAAGGAAGGAAGGAAGGAAGGAAAATAGGTACTGAGAGGGGGGAAGAAAGGAAGAGAAGGGAAGGAAGGAGGAAAGAAAGAAAGAGAGAAAGAAGGAAAGGAAGAAAGGAAGGAAAAATGTGTGTTTTTGTGTGAGAGAGAATAAGAGGAAGGAAGGAAGGAAGGAAGGAAGGAAGGAAGGAAGGAAGGAAGGAAGGAAGGAAGGAAGGGTCTTTCTTCATTTACAAAAAATATTTAAAAGAAAACAACCCACCACCATCTACGACAGAAAAAAGAGCTGCAAGCAACTTGAAAGAAGAGGGAGAAAAAATGAGCCGCGGAGGAAAATGAACTTCGACACCATCATCCTTCTCTCCCTCACCAAGCCAAAATTCGATCTTGGGCAGCGCCCGAGGGACCCACACGCACACACAAAAAAAAGGCGTTTTATGATTTGGTTTAGCTATTTGGGCAGGGAGGAATTGGACGGCCGATTCTGCAAAGCTTGCAAAACCGTTTTCTCCCACGTGCCCACCGAGTTTCCCTGGTCCTCTTCTTGTGACCAAAGAAGGACGCAAAGGGAGGAATTAAACAGGTTTTGTGCCCCCCCCCTTCTCCTGGCATTTTAGAAACCCCCTTTCCGGACAGGCCTGCCCATTTGCATAAAGATCGCATTTGAGTTGTCTCTTTTTTTTTTTTTTTTAGAAGGCGAAATCGAAGCGGAGCCCGTGGATGGGGCACCAACAGGAGATTCTGGGATCGAAGCAAAAATAAATAAAGAGGAAGAGAACTGAAAGTCCAAAAATTTAAGGGGCATGGAAATGGTGCCAAATTTGGAGATCGTTGTGGTGCCAATTGTGGATGCCAGATTTGCACTAAAGGGCCAGGAGAGTTTTCACAGATACGGACACAGGTGCCGATTCGGCCTTCTTTAAAAGTGACCTACCCTGCAAGGGTGTTAGAAAGAACGACAAGCTCTCCTAGGTATCTGTAGTTTAGGAATTTGGAGGTCCAGCTCAGCTATGTTTAATTTTAGGAGAAAAGACTCTTAAACAGGAAGGGAGGGAGGGAGGAGAAAGAAGGAAGGAAGGAAGAGAGGGAGGGAAGGAGGAGGAGGAAGGAAGGAAGGAAGGAAGGAAGGAAGGAGAGACAAGGAGGGAGGGAAGGAAGGAGAAAGAAGGAAGGAGAAAGAAAGGAAGGAAGAAAGAGAGGGAGGGAAGGAGGGAGGAGGAAGGAAGGAAGGAAGGAAGGAAGGAGAGACAAGGAGGGAGGGAAGGAAGGAAGGAGAAGGAAGAGAGGGAGGGAGGAAGGAGAAAGAAGGAAGGAGGAAGGAAGGAAGAGAGGGAGGGAAGGAGGGAGGAGGAAGGAAGGAAGGAGAGACAAGGAGGGAGGGAAGGAAAAAAGAAAGAAGGAGGGAGGGAGGGAGGAGGAAGAAGAGAGAAAGGAAGGAAGGAGAAAGAAGAGAAAAAACAGGAGAAAGAAAGAAAGAAAGAATGAAGAAAGAAAGAAAGAAAGAAAAAAGAAAGAAAGAAAGAAAGAAAGAAAAAAGAAAGAGAAAAAGAAAAAGAAAAAAAGCAGATTTTGACTGGCAAAGAATTTCGGGTGGCGGGGTTAGACTAGATGATCTTCACATTCCTTCCAACCCTTCCATCCTATAAATTTTAAGCATTTCAGGGTCCGCTTTTCAAGACCGCACCAAGCGCATCTTTCCAAACCATAACAGGACGAAAGACAACCCTGGACCAAGAAGACGCTCAACTCAGTTCAGGTCAATCTTGGCCTGTTGTCATCCTGGCTTAGCGTTGGGTGCAAAACGGGCAGCGAGGACAGCTCCCCTAAATCCAGCTGTGCAAAGAATTCGACCGAGGGGTGTCGTTTTGGTTTTTTTTTTCCCAAGGAGGAGAACTGGGGATATTCCTTACTTGCTGGAAGGGAAGAAAAATAAATAAATAAAACTAAATGGTATCGCTAGATAAGCCGAGGATAAATGTTCGGCTAGAGAAGATAAGCTTCACAGCTCAAAAAAAAAAAAAAAAAAAAAAGGATCCCTCCAGATCGGTTCTTGTGATTGCCAAATCTAACCAACCACCGACAAATTCTGGAAGGATCTCGCCGGACGAAACTCGCCATTTGGCTCCGATTTTGGACGCCAAGTGAAATTATAACCGGATGAAGCTTTCCTTGATTTATTCAGGCTGCTAAAAAGCAGATTTTAAGCCCCCCCCCGTCGCCTTTCAGTTCACGCTGGGAGAACAGCTGCCTGCAAATGCGATGGCTGCTAGATAAAAAGGATGAAAAACCAGCAGATCCCCAGATCAGGCAGCCCTGGAGATCCCAGAACAGACCACCATCTAATTAAGATCACGGTGAGGGGGTGGGGGTGGAGAGAACGAAGCTGACAATTTGGGGACCATCTAATTGCAGAATCAAAAGCCAAGCAGGACGTCGTCGCGGATGCCGGCGGCCTCCCCTCCGCCCAGCGGCAAAACAAACCGACATTGGTGGTTAGTGGGAGGTGAGGGACGTTGGTCCACGGTGGTGGGTGGGTGGGTGGGTGGATTGGCATAATGGGGCAGCTGGAGGAACCTCGAGGTGAAATGGGGTTTTGAGGTGCAGACACCCGTCCGTCGCCTGGATGATTTTGCACCCGATGATGGTTAGAAAGGAGTCGTGGGGAGGGACGCTTAAACTAGACCACGATGACCGGGGGGGGGAAAAACGGAGGCAGAATCAGGGTGTAGCCTTAATTGACAAGCACCTGGAGGAAGGGAGAATGTGAAATTAAAGGCAAATTTCTCTTATCGGGTAAGGCCACACCTGGAATTTTGCACCCAGTTTTGGTCCCCACGTTACAGGTTGAGACTTTGGAAAAAAGCGCAAAGAAGAGCAACGAAGATGGTTAAAGGCCTGGAGATTAAAACGTACGAAGAACACGGCGGCAGGAATTGGGAGTCTAGTCTAGAGAAAAAGAAGAATAGGATAGTATTTGGGGGGCTGCCCCCAAAGAAGAGGGGGGTCAGTTTTTTGTTTTTTTTTCCAAAGCGCCCGAAGGCAGGAGAAGAAGCAATGGGTGGAAACTCATCAAGGAGAGAAGCAACCTGGAATTAAGGAGAAACTTCTGAACAGTGAGGACAATGAACCAGTGGAACAGCTGGCCACCAGAAGTTGTGGGTGCTCCCATCGCTGGAGGCTTTGGAGAAGAGATTGGACCACCATTTGTCTGAAAGGGGGATAGGGTCGGACTAGGTGACTTAACAAGATCCTTTCCGATTCTGTTATTCTGTTAAGCCAGGTCGATGGCTCCATACAACAGCCTTGAACCTGGTTTCCTTGTTGGTGAGATGGGCAGTACTGAAATAAACTCGGTTTGGGCGAGATGTGGGTCTCTCAAACGCCTCAAGATTCAAGCAGCTCCTTTTAACCCTAATCCTAACCCCACCATCTCTCTCTCTCTTTCTCTCTCTCTTCTTTCTCTCCATCTCTTTCTCTTTCTCTTCTTTTCTCTCTCTCTCCCTCTCTCTCTTTCTCTCTCCTCTCCTTTTTCTCTTTCTCCTTCTCTTGTTCTCTCTCCTTTTCTCTCTCTCTTCTCTCTCCTTTTCTCTCTCTCTCTCTCTCTCTCTTTCTCTTTCTCCTTCTCTCCTTCTCTCTTTTTTCTCTTTCTCCTTCTTTCTCTTTCTCTGTCCTTTTCTCTCTCTCTTTCCTTCTCTTTCTCTCTCTTTTTCTCTCCTTTTCTCTCTTTCTTTCTCTCTTTCTCTCTCCTGTTCTCTCTCTTTTTCTCTCTCCTCTCTCTCCCCCTCTCTTTCTCTCTCGTTCCCTCTCCTCTCTCTCTTTCTCTTTCTCCTTCTCTCGTTCTCTCTCCTTTTTTCTCTTTCTTTCTTTCTCCTCCGTTCTCTTTCTCTCCTTTTCTCTCTCTCTCTCTCTTTCTCTCTCCTCTCCTTCTCCTCTCTTTCTCTCTCTTTCTCCTTCTCTCCTTCTCCTTTCTCTCTCTTTCTCCTCTCGTTCTCTCTCCTTTTTTCTCTCTCTCTCTCTCCCTCTCTCTCTCTTTCTGGCTCAGTGTGACTTCTTCCTCAGGCTGTTTGGGACAGAAAGTGGGACCCCTCGGAATTGCTCAAAGAAAAGTTACCGGGGTGCCAATGGGAAGACAGGAAGAAGGGAGGTGAGAAGGTGCGAGATGGAGAGAAAGGGTTTGGGGGAAGGGAAGGGGAGAGGAGAGGAGAGGAGAGAAGAGAAGAGAAGAGAAGAGAAGAGAAGAGAAGAGAAGAGAAGAGAAGAGAAGAGAAGAGAAGAGAAGAGAAGAGAAGAGAAGAGAAGAGAAGAGAAGAGAAGAGAAGAGAGCACAAAAAAAAACCCCATACACACAGAGAGACACACGAGCCACAAATAAACGAGTACAAATTGGGGGCATCGCCTGAAGAGTGCAAAGGGGTGCGCCGTGACCCCGACTGGTCCTGGGGGGGGAGGAAAGGGCAGAGGTCACGGCAAAGGAAAGGCCGCCCGCAATCCAGAGACGCAAGGAGAATCCATTTGGGAAACGGGAGTCCTGAGTCCAAAAACGGGGCAGGACAGAGTCCCAACTATAAAAGCATCCCCACTCTGGATCTAACGCCCCCCCCTCCACCAGCATTTGAGGGGAAGGGTCTCCTGCTGGGGACATGGGGTTGGACTAGAAGACCTCCAAGGTCCCTTCCTACCATCCTATGCTTTTGTTATAAAGAGAGAAAGTCGAGATGAAGATGTCCAGTCCAGAGACTGAGGATGGGAGGAGGGGGGGGATACCCAAAGGTTGCCCGGGACTCTCTTCTCCTTGGCACCCCCAAATTCAGGTTTCCAAGGGAACCCGGCCAGCCCGGGATGCCCAAGTCAGCTGGCAGAGGCTGCTGCGCCAGATTGCTACAGTCCACCCCCCACCCCCCCCACAAAACCCTGCTTGCCTCCCCCTCCTCCTCTTCCTCTCCTGCCCACACCTTGGCTCCCTCCCTACCTTCGCTGGTGGCGGCCGAGAGGCAGGTGGCCAACGCTGCCAAGAGGACAGCCGGGGTGGCAGCGGAGGCTGGGGCGACTTCCCCGGGGGATCCGGCCATCCTGCGTGGGGAGCCGCCGGCCAGCTGGAGCTGGCCAAGATCCTGCTGTTTTGCGCCAGCTCTGCTTAATGGACTTTTTCCACATTTGATTGCATTCCCGAGAGCTGGTGGGTGGGTGGGTGGGTTGGTGGGAGGGAAGGAAGGAAGGAAAAAAAAAAGAGAGAGAGAGAGAGGTTGAGGAGGGGGGGAGCCCAGCTGCCTGTCACGGGCGCCCAAGCCAATTGGAGGCACCACCTCGGCTCAGGACCCCTCCCCTCCTCTCCTGCCTTTTGTTGGGAAGCCTTTGCCTGACATGCAAACCAGAGAAATGATGGGAGGGGGTTCTTTGTGCCAAGGGCTGCTTCCTTCTCTTCCCCTTCTGCCAGGGGAAAGCACACAGACACACACACACAAATGCACACACAGAGAAAGAGAGAGAGACACACACACACACAGAGGATGCTCAGCAGATTGTTTCCCGTTGCTAGGAAACCCAAACTTTCAAACAGGGTCTCTCCATCCTCAGCATCGCCACAGCTGGCACCGAAAGGGAGGATGGAGAGAATCCTAACTGGGCACAGGGGGTCCTGAATTGGGTGAGTGGGGGGGTCTCCGGAGCTCAGAACCTGACCTGCCTTTGGGGGTTTTTTTTTTGAAGCAAAGGAGAGATGCTCAAATGACACGACCAAAAAAGAAAAAGAAAAAAAAATCCACACTTTAAAAAGCCGAATTTCCTTTGGGGATGTATTATTCTTTTTATTTTATTTTATTTTTGAAATTCCCCTAAAAGTCTTTCAAAGAAAATTGCTCCTTTTTACTTCGGGTTTCTGCCCGTTTCCGTTTCTGAATTATTATTATTATTATTTTTTTTGGAACTGATTTCTAAATTTTTTTTTTTTTTTTTTTTTTTTTGCTTTCCTGGAAAAAAAAAAAAATCCAGGTGAGCCCAGCTATTTTCTACACTCTGCGTTGCATTTCATGTATTTTAATATTTAAATATAAGGGATAGAATATAAGAGCATTTTTAATACGTTCTGTGTTTTGTTTCTAAACTCCTTTTCTTTTTTTTCCCCCCCACCTCCATTCCTGACCGGGATAAGATCTATTCTAGTGGGATACAGATTTTTTTTTTCCCCAGGTTGGAAAGACAAAATATTTTGGGGTGAAAAAGGTCTTTTAAAAAAATGTAGAAAAAAGCCTTTAATAAGGCTGGTTAAAATCGGTGAGCTAAATTAAAAACATCAGGCAGTCCTGGAGTTACGACCGATCGCTTAGCGACCGTCCAAAGTTCTGACAGAACTACTTCATGAGGGAGGGGACTTACAACCCAGATTTGAAGTTCTGACAGTCGGGATCGCCCCTCCCCCACCCCCGCGCAGTCACATGAATGCATTTAGGACACACGGCAACCGAATCGCATTTACGGCCATTCGCAGATCCTTACAGTGACAGTTTGGGTCAAATGTGGCATTGACTTCCGATTTTCAGCCAGATCGACCATTCATTCACTTAACAACTGAGATGATTCACTTAACAACCACCGCAAAAAAAAAAAGTAATAAAATCCAGTCAGGCGCAGGTCTGACCTCTTTTACGACCATTCCAGGTTATAACTGGGATGGGCAGACTCCATTAACGGTCATAACTTGAGGACTACGGATACTATAAACGTCGGCCTGGTGTGAAATTTATTTATTTATTTATTTTGTGAATTTTTCAACAAAGGAACCATTTTTCTTCACGGTTAAAATCAGGGTGATCTCATAATGCATATATATATATTTTCTTTTAGAAAGTGGATTTTTGTCGCTTTTTATTTTTCTCGCCATCTCCACCGGAACTTCTTCACAGGGTTTTTTTCTATTTTTGCTCGCATCTCAACACCTCCTACACACAACCATGTTTCCTTGTTCGCCAAAAACTCTTCCAAGCAAGCTGAAAATTGTGGGGTTTTGTGGTAGCCTTTTTTTTTCATAGTTTGAAAATATGAACCCGCAACCGTCTTACGGGTTTCTCCGGTCCGGGTGCCAGCATCTCACAACTGTGTGCGGTAACTCCCTCGTGCAACACTGACCCGTACACTTTGCAAAAAAAAAAAAAACCCACACCACAGCGTGTGCAATGCTGCAGGATTGTGATTTTCAACGGTGTTTGACAATGCCCACCTTTGCAGATCTAACGGCAGAATTATTAATATATCCTAAATGACCACATCAATACAGAGGTGTAAAATATATACTTATATATATATATATATATATATATCCATGGGCTAAAAGTATCTCAAAATTTAAAAATGCACAGAAAGGAGGTAATATCCTGAAGGAACAGCAGAGAAACTGTTGGCTGGAAGGACTGAAATTTACATTAGGATTTGACTGAAAAAGAGAATTTTTAATAAAATGATTTACGGCTCGTGCATGACTTTAGAACAATGAACGGAGCAAGGGACTTCAAATCTCGGTTGTTATTTACAGACGATTGAAGAGTCAGTTTGCTTGTTAAAAAGAAAAAGAAAAAGCCAGAAGATTCTGGATTTAAATATATACAGTCATGGGAAGAATTTTGAAAGACTTAATATTTCAACCAAAATCTAGATATTTTTTTTTCTCTCCTGCTAACGGACAAGGAACTAGAAAAGATTTTCGGACGCAGCGAGATGATGGTATGATGGAAGGGCTCTTAAAATATCAATGTAGAGGGATGCCTGGGGAAGTTGAAAGAATTAGCCGAGTTGGCAAAATTGGCTTGTTTAATTAGAGAAAAGACAATAACTACATTTGTTATTGGCTGGAAACCCTTTAGGGACTCTCTGCTGAGTAGAAGTGGGGGGGGGGATGTAGTTGTGATATATAGGTTTGAAGATTCGAAAAGGTAGATTAGGCAAATAATCTCCAAGAGAGAGATTAGGTTAAAATGCAATGTATTTATGACTAAAGGAAGATTGGAAGCCACATCTTTATATTTCTTTCTCTTTCTCTTCTTTCTCTTTTATTTTTTTCTGACTTTATCGCTTTTTTCTTCCTTTTTTGGTCTTCTTTCTTCTCTTTCATCTCTTTACTTTTTTCTTTCATCTGTTTTCCTTTCTTTTCTGCCATCTCTTTTCTTTTTTCTTTCCTTCATGTTGTTCTTTCTCTCTCTCTCTCTTTGTTTCTCTCCCCTTCCCTTCCCCCTTCCTTCCTTCTGTACCTTTCCCTTATCTCCATCTCCCTCCTTCCTTCCTTCCATTTGTCCTTCCTCCCATTCCTCCTTCCTTCCTTCCATTCCCCCTTCCTTCCTGCCTTTCCTTCCTTCCTCCCTCCCATTCCTCCTTCCTTCCTCCCTTCCCCTTCCTTCCATTCCCCGTTCCTCCCATTCCTCCTTCCTCCCTTCCCCCTTCCTTCCATTCCTCCTTCCTCCCATTCCTTCCTTCCTCCCTTCCCCCTTCCTTCCATTCCCCCTTCCTCCCATTCCTTCCTTCCTCCCTTCCCCCTTCCTTCCATTCCTTCTTCCTTCCTTCCTCCCTTCCCCCTTCCTTCCTTTCTCCCTCCCATTCCTCCTTCCTTCCTTCCTCCCATTCCCCCTTCCTTCCTTCCTTCCTTCCTCCCATTCCTCCTTCCTCCCTTCCCCCTTCCTTCCATTCCCCCCTCCTCCCATTCCTTCTTCCTTCCTTCCTACCTTCCCCCTTCCTTCCTTTCCTTCCTTTCTCCCTCCCATTCCCCCTTCCTTCCTTCCTTCCTTCCTTCCTTCCATTCCTCCTTCCTTCCTTCCTCTGTTGATGCAATTAGTACCAGAAAGCCCTCGATTTATGACCACAACTGAGGCCAGAATTTATGTTGCTAAGTGAGACATTTGTTACATGAGATTTGCCCCCGTCTTGCGACTTTTCTCACCACGGTTGTTATGGGAGTCCCCGTAGTGGTTCAATTAGTAACATGGTCGTTAAATGAATCCGGCTTCCTCATTGACTTTGCTTGTCAGAAGGTTGCAAAAGGGAATCGGGGACGTGCCAGTTGCCAAGCCTCTAAATTTTTTGATCGTGTGATCATGCTACAACGGTCGTGTGCAAAACGGGCATTGGTCACTTTTTTTCCAGTGCTGTTGTAACTTTGAGCGGTCACTAAATGGACTGTTGTTAGTCAAGGACTCCCTGTATACAAAAATTCATGTAGCGTTGTCTATTTTTTTGGGGAGGCCTCCTGCGCTGTTCAACACGATGATTTTCCTTTCTCGTTCTGGATTTCACATTTAGCGTCCCTCGCCAGGGATCTTTCACCAAAGCGTCTTGCAAGTTTCCTAATTTTTCTTAATTTTCCTAATTTTCTTGAGAAACGTCGGCCTGCAAGCGCGGAGAACAGCTGGAGAAAATGTGCCTTCGCACCCAAAGCCGACCGACGAAATACTAACTAGTTTTGCTCGCCTGTGGCTCACGGCAGCCTGTGCAAACCAGAATCGATGGCCTGAACCAAAGAGCCCAGTCTGATTTCTTCCATAAATGATGATTTAAGCAAAACAGACTAACATCAGGTTTAAACCAAGCCTCTCTCACACCCCGGGCCCCTGTGTTTGATCCGCGATACTCTCTACGGCAGCTGCGCCCCCACCGCCCCCGTCAAAGACCTAAACACGCTCTCAGTTTAATTTGATTTTTCTTTAATGGAGCTGCCCCCCCCCACCCCACATTTCCCAACCGTTTTACGAGACGATCCACCCAAAAACCGGGACCGTTTCCCGAAAGCTTGGAGGGTGGGAGGGCGAGAAGAAAAAAAATAAGCGTGGAATTGAACCCCGCCGAGCATCGTAGACGTTCTCTGCAAAATCTTAGATGCTATTTTCTATTCTTCGAGAGATATATATATATATATATATATATCTTTTTTTTTTCTCGCCCAGCATTGGTTACAAGTGGCTGAGAGCTTTCACCGGACTGGCAGAAAAGTGGTTTTTTTTTTTTTTTTAAATAGGCAGATTATCTGGTGAAACGGAGGGCAAGCTCCGTTTATGAGCCGGGAAATAATAGCCTTGCAGTGACAGCTTTATTAGGAGAAAAAGAGCTTTGTCAGCCAGATTTCATTCGGAGACGCTGATAGAGCCGGGGACTCGGGCTTTTTCGGTGGGTTTGAAAGC